AAGATTCATATTGGATACTATTACTCCGCACATACTCAAAAGCAAATCACAAATCACAGATAGCAACAACTCCTAGGATAAGGCATCACAAATCAGGCCACTCTAGTCCTAAAATATGAAATACCTAGCCTATCTCTAGCATGCCGAATATCTCATAAAATATCTCATAATACAAAAGTAAGGGTATTTTGGGAAATCACCGTTTGGGCTCTGGCTGATTGTACACACTGCTCTTTCTCGTTGTTCTCTTAGAAACTCTTGCTTGTTTTTAGAAAATCATTTCTTTAGAAAATTTTCTAAAATCCTCAGTTTGAGTCCAGATTCACCCGAAAGTGCATCCGAATCCCTCAAACCAAGGCTCTGATACCAACTTGTAACACCGTAAATTTTCAGACAAATTTTTCATGTTTAAAATCACATAAATATCATCAACACATATCACAAGATCTCAATATGTCAATTATCAAAAACACATGTTCATAATTATTTAAATAAAATCCAGGATCCTCGAACACAGCTCCATCTCGTGTGTACAATCAAGCCAACGCCTTCCCGTGATCCTAAGAAGTACCTGAAGCACATAACACATAACACGGCAAGCACAAAGCTTAGTGGGTTCCCCAAGATACCACATACATCACATTAGCCACTCGAGGCTATAACTCGGTAAGACCCTCTGGTCTATGTGTCTCAGTGGGACCCTCCAATCCCATAGCTCGTTGGATCCTCTGGTTCGGTCTTAATGAGGACACTCCAGTCTCACAGCTCGTTGGACCCTCCAGTCCGGTCTCAGTGAGGACCCTCTGGTCTCACAACTCGTTGGACCCTCCGGTCCGGCCTCAATGTTCCATAATATAGCATACATATATCACACAAACAAGTGCACAACTCAAGCACATAAGATCAACATATACACAGATTACTATAACAACATAAGTCATAAAGACAGTATGCACGATAACACATAACCCATTATAAACAAATAAGACCCTTCGGTCTACAATGTACTAAGACCCTCCGGTCAATAATGTAATTAAGACCCTCCGGTCAATAACATGAATAAGACCCTCCGGTCACACATAAATTACCACACGCGTAAGTATAGTGAAAGACTCACCTCGGATGGCAGACAGATCCTATAAATGTTGTTGTTGTACTCCGGCTTCTAACACTGAATCAAACCCACAATTAACCCCATAAGAATCTACGACCAAACCTTCACACATTAGGTCCAAATATGGTCCACCAATCTGATCCAGAATAACCCAAGCCCAATGGGCCCACCAAGAACCAATACCAAATGGGTTCACAAAAAGTCCTCTAATGGCCCAACTATGGCCCAATTTTCCAAATTGGGCCCAAACCCTCACATGGGCCTTACCCTAAATCCCATGAAATTATTCTAGTCCAAATAACTGCTCTTGGATGGCTCATCAATGGCCCAAACACCAGAGCCCAATAAAAAGGCCCAAACACCAGAATAAAAAGGCCCAACTTAAGGCCTAAGCAAAGTTAGGGTTTTCACATAAAATGATAATTAGGGTTAAGTGTTTCTTACTTAACCCATTAAGGACTTAAAGCATTAAGTCCATTATTCCACTAAGCCATTATACAATAGAATTGTCATGAGTTATATCTTCAGTCCACTGGCCCAAATGCGGGTCCCAATAGGCCAAACCAACAAACCCAAAATTGAGGTTTTCTAAACCTTAATTAGGGTTTCTAGCCCAATAACGAACTAGCCCAATCCAATAATAAACAATTGGTTCAATTAGGGTTTCACTGGGCTAGGAACCACCTACTGCCACCTCTGACAATGGTGGTCGGCGGCGGCTCACGGCGGCAACCACCACCTCACGACGGTGGTGGTGGTTTTTCCCTCAAACCCTCCACCAGAATGGTAGAACAAGTCTCAAACCACTAGACATATTCAAAACATCACAATGTATATACACAGCCACCTCCACACGGCGGTTGGTGGTGGCGAAGCAGTGGCAGGAGGCGATAGCCACCACCTCATGGTGGTGGCAATGGATTTTCAGACACATATACACACATACCACACCTTAAATACCAAAAAAACCCATCACACACTAGCATGCGCCCAAACAGCCACCTCTTAGGTAGTTGATGTCGCCGGAAAAACACAAACAACACCCCTCATCGCCACCAACGGCGGTAGTGGCGACTACAGTGTCACACCCACCAAAAAAACGAGACAGAAAGGGGAAGGAAGGGCTACGGGTGACTTACCGAGCATCTCCAATGGCTCATGAATCGCACATCGACAACACAGTGGGTTTGATTCTCGAACCTCGGCGGTTCTCCGGCTGCCTACGAAGTTCCGGCAGCAGACATTGTGATGGTGACCATCGTCGGCACTGCAACGGCGGCGACGGACGAATTTACTTGCAAGCGGCGCTGAGGAGTCTTCCAAGAATAGCAGTGACGGTTGAACTTGTCTAGGGTTAGGTTGCAATGTAACAGGTGACGGAAGTGAGCACCGGGTATAACCTGCGTTCCCTTCAAACTTTACAACTTTGTACAAGATCGGCCTCTCCCCACCATATCTTCTTCAAATTTAATCCAATATTTCCCTTTTAACCCCTGATTCCATAATTTTATTACAATTTAGGTCAAAAATTTACCAAATAGCCCCTGCCCTTAGTAATCGTTACAAATTAAATCCAAAACTTACACGTCTAACCCCAAAATACAAAAATTATATCAATCGGCTCCCCAACACCTACACCCTGCTAAATATTATTCATTTATTTAATACACGGGATGTTACAGGAGATCTCCCATCTGAATATGCACCTTGCACCATGAGTGCTTTCTTCCTTCTCATTGCACATTTGGCAAGTTAAATTTTCCATGTTTACCCCTCTTTATACTAACTCCTTAATTGTTGGGATCCTGCCCTAATGTGCTCTCCAAATAAAGCAAGAGACTTTCAGTGGGATTTCTTTTATCCAGTGGAAATTTATGTTTGTTAATGGATTCCGGTAGTCCCATCTTGATCTGAGAGCATTTACTGTGAAAGATCCATCCGGGGTGAGCCCACATCTCCATATGACACCATTGTTTACTATTCGTTTGTCTAACATTGTCTGAACTTGGATATCCTTTTTTCTTAGATCATTTTCAATTCGAGCGATGTTATTCCATACCCAAGGTAACGATTTGTAGAGTAACAGTCATCGGGTTTTGACCTTAGATTGTGCACACTCGTTATCACAGCAGCCCATAACTGATCCTGCTTGGTTCTCAGCCTCCACCACCACTTTGTTATTAGAGAGATGTTTAATGCTTTTATTGTACCAACACCTAAACCACCATATTCCTTTGATGTTGTTACCTTATCCTACGAGATCCAATGGATCACTTTCTTTTCATCTAATCCTCCCCACAGAACCGATTCCTCATATTTTCCAATGTGTCAATAATGCCCTCAGGTGCCACGAATAAGGAAAGGTAATAAGATGGAAGGTTTCCTAAAACCGACTTTATGAGTGTCAATCTTCCGCCAAAAGATAAGGTTTTGACTTCCATTTTGACAATTTGGATTGGAATCTACCAAGAATTGGAACCCAATTTTTTTTCAAGTTCATATTTGCGCCGACTGGGACCCCTAAGTATGTGAATGGGAGAGTGAAAGGTTCACATCCTAAAGTTCTGGCCTAGTTTGAAATTTCTTGTATATCATAGCCAACTCCAAAAACTCTCGATTTATTGAAGTTCACTTTGAGTCCCGATGCAGCATGAAAACAATGTAGAATACGGGCCAGGTTTTTCATATTTTGCTTTGACCATTCTCCAAGGAATAAAGCATCATCCACATATAATAGATGGGAAATTAATGGACCATCATTTGGCAGCTGAATACCATGAAATATTCCGATGTCGCACGTAACCCTCATTGTTGTGCTTAGTCCCTCCATAACTGCGATGAACAAAAAAGGGGAGAGTGGATCGCCTTGTTTGACACCTTTGGATATCGGGAATTCATCGGTCGGGCTGCCGTTGACTAGCACTGAGGATTTGGAGCTATCGAGACATCCTTTTATCCATGACCTCATTTTAACTCCAAAACCATATGTATAAGATTGGTATCAAGGAAGCCCCAGTTGATTGAGTTGAATGCCTTGTCAAAATCGACCTTAAATAGGAGTATCTTTTTTTTTTTTTTTTTTCTTTTTTGCCCATGAGCATATTTCATTCACCACGAGTGGTCCATTAAGTATGTTCTTGCACTCCATGTAGGCAGACTGCACCTCATCAATACAGTTCCCCATGATTTTCTTTATTCTGAGTGATAGTATCTTGGATATGATTTTGTAGATGCACCCAATAATATATTGGTTACTAATAACTTAATATTTAATATTTATTAAAAAAAAATTAACTAGGTAATAAATAACAAATATTTAAAGTTTTACTATAATTAGAGAGTAAAATAAAATACCATATTCTTGATTAAAGAGGGGTTATTTGTATTAAAGATAAACTCAAAAGAACAATTAAATAAGTTCATATTGAACGGTTGAATTATTCGACCAAAAAATGCATTATCTCCCAACAGAGAAATGTAAACAGTTAGTTCATATTTATTGACCTCCCATTAACTATTGAAAATGGATTTTTTTATACATCTAATCAGCTAAACTCCATCCAATAAAACTGGAAAATTCATAAACGTCTAAAATAACACCATGATGTCACTAATTCACCCCACCCAAGAAATATTGTGTCACATTTGAATTAGAATTGCATCACAACTCAACGGGGAATGCCTCTTTTTCATTAAAAAAAAAACATGAATATGTATATAGCTTACTAGATTAAGTCATGTTTCTGTTAAGTCCATTAAATCCAACAAAATCATCTAATTACTAATAATATCCTGGAATAAACCAATACCATCACTTTTTATGTAGGACAAACAAACACTAGATTAAAATTTACCAAAAATTTTTTTGTAAATTTCCCAAAATGACCCTCGATAAGGGACCTTTCCAACTGTACCCAACTTGAAACAAAATAAATCCACACTACAACAAACATATATGATATAGAAAAAGAAAACATCTGAATAATAGTGTCATGGTTTCATCAAAATACACAAACAAATGGAACTACTTCAGTCCTCAGATGAATTGCTTCAAAAATTCAGTTGCCACTAACCTCCCCCTTGTGTTCATTGACAGTTTTAGTTCACTTATCTCTTTGTCAATATCCTGCAAATCAACACCACATAATAATTATAAACCAGACATGTTTAGAAATTTCAAAATGATTTGAACAAAGATAAATAGAGTTGATTAAAATCTTACTTCCATGAATTGCACAATGAAGTCAATAAGCTTATGCTTCTGCATCTCTTCACAGTGGTAATTAGTGATAAGAAAACTAATATCATAACCCTGAAAAATAAAAATAAAGATATATATATATATATATATATATATATATATATATATATATATATAGGGTCATAATTAGATTTTATTTAAAGATATGTGAGTGTGTGTAAGTGTGTGTACACCTGTACTGGTTTTCTCCTTAATACTTGAAAAGCTTCTGCCCTCATTGACAAAAATCTAAGGAATTTTTTGGTTAGGATGTTTTCCAGCTCATCTGCCTGCTTCACCTATGCACAAATTAAAAATCAATGAAGGGTAATTTTGTCATTTAACATTATTAACATCCTGATTCCAAAGCTATATTTACATACTAAACAGAAAACTAGAAAGCATGGAATGGAATTCCATTCCAGTAATCTTTTTCCCGAAATAAATTATAATGATGTAAATTAAACATTCAGTGTGATTACCTTGAGGCTTATGCGAAGTGAATTAATAGATGTTTCAATCAAACATTTTTCAGCCTCATTTCGACAAATCACAACCTGCAATGTAGGTATCCACATCAAAATAATGATATAAATAATCAACTGAAAAAAAAAAACAAAAAAACAAGAATCTGTTCTTACAGGATTGAGCAGAAGCTCCAGGCTTGTCCTGTAAATGGTTGAAAAAAATAAGTATATTATAACTCTATTTGACACAAATGGTTTTCTTTACCTCATCCATAAATGATATAAAAATAAACTTTAAAAGAAGAAGAAGAAGAAGCTAATTTGAAGTTACATACTTCATTTCAACTTCGGGTTTATTATGTCTTTCAACTTCTTGACAAGGGAAATTCTGAAACAAGAAAATATAACAACATTAGAGAAACAGTATGCATTAATAGTTACAGAATCCTGTTTCTTTTATCCTTTTTCCTCCCATTAAGTATTGTGTGGATACAGTGTTGTCTGGATAAATAATGTTTAAATAAAAAAGTAAATGAGTAATTCATTGTGCATTAAATATAAAAGATACACCCATATATAGCTTACCAGATTAAGCTCTTAAGTCTTAAGTAAAAAAGAAACAAGACCTAAATGTTCAACTAGAAGCATTTATTGCTTCCAAGATTTTGACTTGAAATCCATAATTCAACAAATAATGTAAAAAACTATGTAGTTTAACATTGTATACCTGCAAACACATGGCAGCCTCTAGAGTGTTTCGTATGCAAGTCAAATACAATCTCAATGAGCTTGCCTGTAAAATATCATGAGTTAATTACAACAAACACACATAAGATACATAAATTTGGCAACAAATCTCCTAAATGGTAGCAAAAACAAGTATTCAAACTCCATTAGAGAGGATATATGAAAAGGAAGAGGAAGAATTGCAGGATATGAAACAAACATAGATCATGTTAGTCATGTCGTTATGTTTCACCTGCATTTAATGATCCTTATGATTAGCAATCATTTACTCATTTCTGGTGAAGTAATTCAGGACACAGAGTAAGTTTTTTGTTCAAATTGTTTATCCTGAACAACGTAAATGCTTATGAAAGATGATTGAGTTCGTCATTAGGTAAAATTTTGAATATAACACTAAATTACTAAAGGCAAAAAAAAAATGTGCATTTAATCACGAAAAGGGATATTAGTACGTATACTTACAGTTTCCTAAGAGTTTCTTACTTTATTTCTGGAGATTCGACTTATTCAGATGAAATGAGGAGAATTGAATAGCTTAACGATACAGATTCGATCAATCTAGGGTTTTGAAAATGAGTGTACGTCGATCAATCTAGGGTTTTGAAAATGTGTGTACGTGTTAAGAGTGAGAGAGATTGCCAAATCGATTATAGATCACTTACCATAGATAGAACGAATAAGAAAGGTGTTGAAGATAATGGATCGAGTTGGGTCAGCAGTGGATTCTCTCCTTTTAATTTCACGTTCAAGAACAACTAAAATTCAAAGAATCAGAAAGGACATCAAAGATGACAAAACTTAAGAAATTCAAAAGGAAAAAATTTCATAAAAAGAGAAAATTTGGAAAGAAAAAAGTTCCGACCTGCCGGATTCGAACCAGCGACCTAAGGATGGCTATGTTACCACTACAGTCCTCCGCTCTACCAACTGAGCTAAGGTCGGCTTGTTGAAATTAACATATAGTTCCAATATATATCAACCTAATATATATATATATATATATATATATATGGATTATTGGTATAATTAATCATGAAAATGTCGATTTCGTCGTAAATTTGGTTACTAAGTATCAAATCATACTAATTTAGAGTTAAAGTTCCAAGATTGTCATCATATAGCCACTAGATCATGTTTCATTCGGTTACAACTTGTCATGTCTATTTGAGATAACGTTTTTATCTGTTCTTTTTCTCTCCTCTTGTATTCAAAGTTCTAGACGGCAAATGTTGCAAAGTCATGTATTTCACAATATATGCAGTACATTTTCATAACACACTATATTTCATAATTTAATTTTTTTTTTGACTTAAAGGTTGTGTTGTAAATTATTCTGAAACTAAAGCACAATAATATACTTTTGTGATATTTTTATTAAAATTCACCCTTCAAAATTATAGTTGTTAAGTCTTGCCTTTTAACCTCCTAAAAAACAAAATGGTTTGGATCTTATTTTTATCTATCATGAAACAATATCCATACTAGGATCTTAGGATTTTAATGTGTGATCTCGTCTTATCTTTTTAGTTTTATTCTACATTTAAGTTTTTAATCTTTTAAACCCTAGAAAATTCTTCATCTATGCTAAAAGAGTTATGTAAATTTATGCATCAATCTTGAAATCACGTCTATAATATTTGCCAATTCAACTAGAAAATCAACCCTTATGGATCACAAGAAACCTCATAAAATATCACTATTTCATCTATCCATCACAAATTAAAAAGAGCATGATGAGCCATAGTTTACCTTTGGCTTTGTGATCTTGTGCCTTGTATATGATAATGATGGTCTTGTTTCTTATTCTACGTAAAATGTTTTTTTCCTCTTAATTTTACTTCTACAAGAATAGTTAAGAAGTTGAAATTATTCCGCAACTTATAATGAAATCTCGCACAAATAAGATAATACAAACAGATTTGAAAAGCTACTTCATTTTGAATGATATGATCTTTACTATAACGATCTTATTGTATCAATTATCAAATAATGAAATATCAAAAGATAAAGTGTCCATCTAAACAGCATTATAAATAATTTTTCCGAATTTTCTCTAATTATCATGGGACTAAATGAAAAAGCTTTCACCAAACTTGCCACATTGCGGATTTATCATTGAAATTCTAGGTTAACAGATGGTGACTCACACCATGCTAGAACCCTGAGAACCCCTCTTCATGATCACCGACATGTGCTCATCGTCATTAAAACTGGAATCCATTTGATTCTCTCCTTGGTTTTCTTAAATTACACTCCAGTATACGTTCATTGATCATCAACATCATCGTTGTTATCGCCACCAGCTATCAGATCCTCCACCAAATCCTTCTCTACTCACTCAGACTCCTCCAGTTCGATCTGGGTATCTCCTGAAATGAGGAGGTAACTAAATGAAACAGTATTTCGTGTGATTTCTGTAACAATTAGTCGTGATTTTAAGATTTTTGATGGTGGGTTTGTGGATCTCACTCAGGCCTGGAGAAGGAATGATGTTGAAGAGACCGTATTATAATCGACACCAGCTGAAACAAGTTAAGGGATTATTCGGCAGATTCACGATTGTGGCTTTTCTGATTGTTATTTTAATCATCTACTTCATCGTCATCTCCACCAGCAAGACCAATTACTTATCGCCAGAATCCCCATCTGAGGTCACTTCTTAACAACTTCCTTTTTATTTTTAACCTTCGTATGCTTGTCAATGTTCAACTGTGATCATGAATTCTAAGCTCCTTTCAAATTATTAGCTGGGGAATTCAGGGGATTTATGTATGGGTTTTTGGATATGTTCAAAGTCGCGATTATCAATTTTCGTTTGCATCATCTTTCCCATTTGACTACCTAAAACTAATTATCAAGCACATATGGGTGTAAAAGTTTCTTGTAGTTTACTTCATCAACCATTTCTTATGCCAAGAACTTTGTAGTTTAACTTGAGTTAAACTTTTTTAAAGCAGATTAATGTGCAGAAACTATGGAATCCTGCTGATTCTGGTGGTTGGAAACCATCATCCACTCCTAGATCTAATTGGCCTCGTATGTGCTCTTGAGGTCCTTAAACTACTTGCCTAAAGTTGTTATAAATTATAATTTAGCTTGATACCTCGAATGATCTTTTGATTTCTAATCTTGAATTTTTTTAGCTCCTCCAAATGAAACCAATGGGTTTCTTCGTGTTCGTTGCAATGGTGGTTTAAATCAGCAAAGAACTGCAGTATGTTCACTATTCTTTCTTTACTAATAATACTACGCTTTATTTAAAATAAAAATATATGAAATTGTTTTGGACACATTCTTATCGAGTTAATTAGGTGAAAATCACATCACTTTATGTAGATTTGTAATGCAGTACTTGCTGCAAGAATTATGAATGCCACCCTTGTGTTGCCTGAGCTGGATACGAATTCTTACTGGCATGATGACAGGTATGAAACTGTCTGACTATTAGTCAAATGTCTAAAATACCCTTAAATAGTGTCAAAATAGGGGAATCTTTACATATGTTTTGGCACAGTGGATTCCAAGGTCTCTATGATGTTGATATTTTTATCAAAGCATTGCGTTATGATGTGCGAATTGTTGAAAGTATTCCTGAAATTCGAAAGAATGGAAAGACAAAGAAGATTAAAGCTTTTCAGGTGTGTTTCCATATTCAGTATTCTTATAGCAACGCCTTTTACCCTTTTTCTCCAAAATGACTATTTTGCCCCTCCTGACCCTCGTTTTCTTTCTATTTTCATAGCTTCGACCCCCTAGAGATGCTTCTATCACTTGGTATACAACAACTGCTTTAGAGAAAATGAAGGAACATGGTGCTATTTATCTCACACCCTTTTCTCATCGATTAGCAGAAGAGATCAATAATCCTGAATATCAACGGTTGAGATGCAGAGTCAACTATCATGCCCTTAGATTTAAGCCACATATCATGCAATTAAGTCAATCAATAGTTGCTAAACTTCGTTCTCAAGGTCACTTCATGTCTATTCATCTTCGGTTTGAAAAGGATATGCTTGCATTTGCAGGGTAAGTTTCCATTTAGTCATATCATTTTTTAGAGATAATCACAAAAATGACTAAATGGGGTGGGTCCCATTTAACAAATTGACCACTTTTTGAACAAAATAACCACTTAAAAGGTGGTTATTTTGTTAAATGGATATTTGTTGTGTGCTAAACTTTTTTGTGTTTTGTTTTTTGCAGATGTTTTGATATATTTTCTCCACATGAACAAAAAGTGTTGATGAAATATCGTAAGGAAAATTTTGCTGAAAAGAAACTTGTTTATAGTGAAAGAAGAGCTATTGGAAAATGTCCTCTAACTCCTGAAGAGGTACACCCTTTACTTTATATTCTCACAATATATTCAATAGTTTTGAATTTTTCTAGATAAAAGTTAACTTCTAAACCATCTTAGGTGTTGTTTCTTTTTGACTTAATGGAGACAGAAACATAACTTAAAACTTAATCTGGTAAACTATATATGAGTGTTTTTGTCTGACTTAATGCTGAAAGAACACTTGATAGATAAAGTTAGAGAAATGAGGGTTTCCCCCCATTAAGTTCAAGCTTTTTACAAATTTGCCCTCATTTAATTTTTTCCTTCCATTTTCCCAAATGTGCCTTCGTTTTGCCTAATATTTTTTGATATCATTTTTCCAGACAACACTGAATGGAAAAAAAAAAGAGTATTTTCTATTTTAATATTGTGTTATACTATCTTCCTTTCATTCCTTGTATTACAATATATTATATTCAATCTCTTTTTCTTATTTTCATTATACTTCAAAATATCTATCCAGTTTACTTCCATAGTGTTTCTTATTAGTACACTGTATTTCAAAAAAAAGTTATCCAATTACAGCACTCGAAAAATTGCCTTATTTGATAGATTTTAACAAAAAAAAGTTAAATAGCACAATACTTCAATAGAAATAAATAAAAGTAGGATGCTCCATTACACAAATAGTTGACAAAATATTTTTCTATTAAAAGACCCTATATTTTGGGTTTTTTACGGATTAAACCTCAACTTTATTTTTTTTCTTAAAAAGACCTTATATTTTTCTATTTTTTCCGAAAAAAAAAATGTCTAATGTGAGGATTTTTTGCAAAAGAAAAAAAAGAAAATCTCCGATAAAGTATCAATATGTTGGGTCAGTTTAAAGTTTAATCCCAACATTTATTTTTTGAATAGAAAAGTCCTGATTATCTAATTTTATACGATAATCTATCATTTTCTATTAAAAAATAAGTACTGTTTTGTAAATTTGGGCAAAATATAAAATAATCACGACTTTTCTGTTCGAAAAATAAAAAATGGGATTAAACTATAATCTGACCCAAAATATCAGGACTTTATCGGAGATTTCCCAAAAAAAAAAAAGTTGAAGCTTTTTTTATGGAAAAAAATTACCTATAAACCTCTGCTAAAAGGGCAAAATTGGAACCCCCTTCCCCCAATATAGGGTGTTTTACAATATTAACCGATAAATTAGAAAATCCAAAAATTGAAAATACATTGCTATTTCTTATAGGTTGGTCTTGTGTTACGGGCAATGGGATTCGACAATTCGACCCGAATATATCTTGCAGCCGGCGAACTATTCGGTGGTGATCGCTTCATGAAGCCATTCAGAGCCATCTTCCCAAAACTCCAAAACCACACAACACTTGTAGACACTGACACTGACTCATCAAATTCAAACGACTTATTAACCGATAACACACAAGGCTTAATCGGTTCAGCCGTTGACTACATGGTCTGTCTGCTTTCAGACATTTTCATGCCAACTTATGACGGCCCAAGCAACTTTGCAAACAACCTTCTTGGCCACCGCTTGTACTACGGTTTCCGCTCAAATATCCGGCCTGACCGCAAAAATCTTGCACCGCTTTTTATTAAGAGGGAGGCGGAGGGGGAGTTTGTGGGGTTTGAGGCGGCGGTTAGGCGGGTGATGGGGCGGACGAATTTTGGTGGGCCCCATCAACGGGTGTCGCCGGAGAGTTTTTATACGAATTCTTGGCCGGAGTGTTTTTGTAGGGCGGGGGTGGTGGGAGGGGAGGATGGGTGTCCGCCGGAGAATATGATGGAGGTGTTGGAGGAGCGGTTGATGAATGTGAGTTCGTAGATGTGTTGTTGTAATGGTTATTTTAGTCTTTTTGGTGTAGGAAAATGATGATGAGAAGTTATCGTGGAATGGGTTATGCTGACATCTAGTAGAGAAACTAAGGTATGTTTTATTTTTATTGTTTATTCTTGTGTGTGAAAAATGATTAGATAATCAGTTGTAAAATTGGGTTTTGGAATTTGGAGATAGTATGTGGATGTGCTTTTGTTGATTTTTTTTTCAATATGTTATTCTTTTTCATTACATCTTGAAATGGAATGAAATATTGCAGTAAAACATATATTTTTAGTTAAGGAGTTTTATTGACACATCTTTTTTAAAGAAAGGTCGTTATTTTAATTTACAGTTCGTTTTTTTTTAAAAAAAATTTAACTGAAATATGGGTTTTAATGAGCTTTTATGAAGTTTAATTTATGAATAAAAACTCCGTGAATTGTAATTAAAATAAATTTAGGGCAGATAGGTGTGTGAAAAAAGAAATATGTTTGTTTTTATGGTTGATGATATATTTGATTTCAGGTTTTTAGCAGAAAAATATGGAGAAATGATGGATGGTAACAAAAGCTTACAGAAGAATGAATGGAGGAGAATAATGGTGTTCTTTTGTTGTTTTAAATGTGTGTGCATTATTGTGCTATATATCAACAAGATTACATGATACAAACATTACATATATTTTAGAAAGGTTTCTATTCTAATTTTACTTTTTTTTTTCTTATGAATGATAGTTACTTGTAATTATTATAACACCTAATGAGTGATATTTTGAATATTTAATCAATTTGATGCATCGATAGGAAAAGCAAAAACAACACGTGGTGGTTTTTATGTATATTTGCATCTTTTAATATCTATTACCCTTTTTCCCAACCAAATGAAGCTTCGTATTTGCATCTTTTGCTTATATATACATAAAAAAAATACATCAAAACAAAACGATACACGTACACACACCGAGTTGTCTTGTCAATATAAAGTTAATTCAATACTAGTAAATTACTATAACACCCCTGCGTGCTATACTTGTCAACCAATTTACAAAACATGGGTTATGTAAAAATAATCAAAAACAAAAACAATAAAAAAAAAAAAAAAACCTTGAAATGATGTATATAGTCTAAACAATACAAGATTAATAAAAAGGTAACAGAAAATCAAAGAAGTGGATGAGAACGTAGCTTATTTGCGACATAGAGCAAATGACTAATATTTGTGGATGGATAGCTTTGGAGCAACTTAAGATTAGCTGTGAAATCTCCCGCAAGCAAACGTCTCCTCACAAGAATCAACATCGCACAGCATACCCTAAGAAGTGTCTCCTGCAATATATTTTATTTATTTACTTTTATATTTATTATAAATACCCACAAACATATTATATAGTATTAAGTTTCTACCAATACCTGTGGACCTTCGGGATCACTTAAAAGTGTGTCCCATATATGAAGAATGTCTGCAAAATTGAATTCCTGAGTCAACAGGAGTGTAATCCATCTAAATGCATAGAATTGCGGATTCACCTGTCATTATAAATGTCAACAAGATTAAGATTGTTGTTAAAAATAAAGCATTAGAAAATTTTATAAATTTTCTTACTTTTGTTGTGTGTTCAAGATGTCTCCATAGCTCTTCATCATGGTCTTTTAAAAGTTGTGACATTTTTGAAATTGTTGAACGGATGCCAACAACACTATTATCAAGTTGCTTACAGAAATTATCACGAACACCACTTAATAACTCAACAAAACAAAAGAATGTATCCGCTTCAGCATTCCCCTGCAGCACAATTACAAATTTGCCCTTGTTTACTTTTCCCTTAATGGAAAATCACATATTTAGAGTTTACACTTACCACAAAATCCTCATTGGGATCATTCTTGAACACATAGAACAAAGGAGCCAAAATTTCATTCATCCCTTGCACATATCGTATCCCAGGGTTCAATTTCGCATATACAATCAGTATATTTTTCAAAGCATCCTGAAATTAAAATGCTATTTTCATCATTTCATATGTTGATAAGATCAAAATGTGTCAAAAGTCAAAACGTTTGACCAGTTAATTACCTGATTAGCTTTTGCAGAAGCAGTGTCACCAGAGAAAAAATGCATGTCTGGATGAGTTCGCTTCACATCACGATCTATTTGCTCAATGATCTCAGTGTCCTACACAATTAGGGGAAGTAATAAAGAATGCATAATATCAAGAAAAATTGAAGCTTTTACTCGATATCATTCAAGCAAAAAGGATTACTTATTATCTTTGTTATTCTGTTCAGGCGACTTATGTTATTAATAACTAAAAGAATCATTTCATCAAAAGTATGTTGCTGAAGAGTATACCTGAAAGAATTGGTTCCATACACTTGTTTTCCCTAGACTCAGAGGGTGCTCATCCTCAGGTATCTCGGACCTTGAGAGTAAACCCTTGCCCTCTTTTGTCTTTTCACCATTTTGAGAAGATGTAGACTCTTCCAATTTTCTAGTGACTTCTGACTGACTAGCCACAATGATATCATGAGTGTTTCATATATGTGATCAAAAAGCTCTTCAAGTAGTGTAATTTTAACTAAAACTTACTGGATTCTTCAAAAGATCTTCTTTAAAATGCTTGTATTGAGACCTTTTCTTGGCCAATTCTGATGACCAAAGCCCCTTGTCACTGGGAAGATATGATAACAACAGCTGAAAACATGCACATATTACAAATTAATCTTCCTATTCCAGAACTAGGATAGAAATCATAAAGAAAATGTCTACAGTAGAAAGTAACCGAACCTTCCAAACAGTGGATCGAATACCAGCACCATCTGGAATACCCAGTGAAGCAAGTTTTTTCAGCTCTACCATATTTATGATCTTCCTCGAAAGCTTTATTACAGAGAAGAAAACATATGAATCAGATTAACAGGTCAAGGAACATATTGGTTTGTTATCATTGTTCCTTCTTAATTTCAATATGAGCACATTTAGATTACCATAACACTCAATTAATCTTCTGTTCCTTATTGAATTAACAAGGTTGAACAAATTACAAGTTTACAACCCTAAATAACCAAATTCTAACTGCGTATGTAAACAATTTCTAACCTCTTGTGATAGCTGTGCCTGGCGAGAATCGTCTTCAACATGAGAACTAACGTCATTACCACTACTATCGCTACTGGTCAACGGATCCTTAACTTCCGTCCTCGGAGCCGGAGCTGGAGCTGGTTTAGAAGGGGATTCGGGTCTAATTACACTGGGCGACGGCAACGATTCACGCGGTTCGTTCATAGAAGAATCCGAGGAAGTAACGGAGGGAGGTTTGGAAGGGTAGGTATCGATGCGATCGGCGTGCGACGGTGATCGAGACGGCGACGATTGGGATTGCGATTTAGGTGGTGAAGGAGTGGTTGTGGTCGGAGCAGACCACATGGAATTGTTGAGCCAATCAGGTACTCGTTTATTCACCATGTTCTTCGATCTTTTTCGAGATCTTCGCTAGGGTTTGGAGGAATTGTGTGTGTGTGGATTGTTCTTCCGATTTTTGTGACAGATGTGAGACTGTGGTCTTTGTGTCATCGTCTTCTTCGTGGAAACTGGTCACATGCCAAATTCGTGCTCGAAACCATGATGGTTTGTACTTTGGTTTCTACAGCCACGTGACACTCCAAATTCAGTTAAACTTCACTTTGCAACAACAGAATCAACGTTATACAGTAGAGTTGGGAAAAAAAAAAATTTACTTAAAAACAAATAAACTAGTTTGAGTATGAAATTTCTAACATGTTCAACTATGATTATGATACAATACGAAAATTAATTGTGTAGAGTTATGGTTAAATTGAAATTTGAAACTTTTCTATTTATTTATTTATACGTAGGTTTTTCAATTTTTTTTTTAGGTAAATTGGATGTCTATGTTAAAATTTTCATTTTTGATTTTTTATTATATCTTTTTTATTATACCTTGCACGTTCTCTTCACATCCCAACTCCTACTCTTTCAATCAATCTAATGTTTCAAAAACTTGTTAAGCCAATACAAAATCAATAGGAAATAAAAGAGCTGACACAATATGGAAATTAAATGAAAAAATGTTAAGATTCGCCTCTTTTAACTCGTTTAATGTTTCAACTTAACACGACACAATACGTTTACAAGTCTAGTTGAGGGTAGCAAGATTGTTATCAATGTACCCGATATAAAAAACCATAATTCATGTTTTACCTTTTAATCAAAAATAGAATATGTAATATATTGAATAAAACAGTCTCATATCATCAATTACATGAGATGATAACATTATTTCTATCAAATTATTCTTTTCATTGTCGTCTTGAAAATCTACCATTATTTTTTTTGGAACAACAATAAGATCTTATCGAGAAGGACTAAGGAGAAACTAGAAAAAGTATTCATACATCAAATTGTTTTAAAAACCAACCTATCGTTTGTAAGCCAAAAAAAACTCATTTTAATCTATCTTTTAAGCCTACATGAAAGCCAAAAGAAATGAGTAACAATATTAGGAAAAAAAAAACATCATTTCTTGGTTTTGAATAACCAAAAAGGGTCTCATTCCCAATCTCCATAAAGCCCAAAAAAATGTTAGGTCGACTGTATCAAAGCAGTACTTGATAGTATTGGTACCCAACTAGTGATAGGTCGTCTTCAACGGGTCAAAAATCATGAGATTGTAAAAGGGTAATGTCCTACCATTTAAGCATTTTGTCTCACTACTCTTTAACGAGAATGCATTTGATAAAGAGATGATATGTTGTCTCAGTCTCTTCTTCACAAATGGACAAAGCGTCCAAATCGACCATTATTGTTTTGATATTTTGGTTAAAGTCGATGACTAAATAATACAAAACTTTGAACGAAATGTATAGATTTAAGAATGAAATATCAATGTGCATATAAGTTGTTTAAAAAATAAAAAGATACAAAAATAGTCTCTCCCTTTTCTCAAGCTACTAAAACGCTATTTGAAGTTTTTTCTCTTTAACACTTCAGCTATACATAGTCTGTTTCGTTTTTTACTTAATCTAGGCAAAATAATACAAGGGTTAAGCCAAAAAAAACATGGCTTAAATGCTTAATATATTTAGACGCCATCTCTTTACCTATTTTCCCTTCTTATTATTATTATTTTTTTCCACACATCTTATTTTGATCAAAGTTGATGAACATTGTTAAACTACTAAATACCATGAACATTGGTTTCTAAAATTATCTCATTCACTCAATTTATTGTGTTAAAAAAAGAGACATGCTAATGTATTCAACACTTTACTCAGACAGACATCATTACACATTAACCCAAAAAAAAAAAAAAAAAAAAAAAAAAAAACAGTTGCAATCATGACTATTTTTAACAAAGTAGTTTTTCAAGAGTATTTAACACGAATCAATCCAAGATTGATGATGTAATTAGTAAATTTAAAACATGAGATAAGATGAAAATTCAAAGCACCCCAAAAAAGGGATTATTTATGGCACTGTTCAGTTCTGTTCCAGCTGAATTCAGCACTGCTCTGTCGATTTTGTCTCTAGCCAGAAACAAGAATTCCCCCCCTTCAATTTTTTCAAATCCACACAGCTCAAGAAACTTAATCCCACCTTCCAATTTCCCCACTCTATCCTGTTAAATGTAAAAAAAATACCAATTTCTTTATTATAAGACAAATTTTTTTAAAGTGCAAGAATTCTTATTTATTTATTTATTTATAAAAGTTGTGAGACCTGAAAGGCAGCATTGCTAAGTCTGATCTTGCGGAATTTCTCTTCGTCTGGCTTTGTTGCAGCGTTCTTGATGTAAGTCAACAGGGTGTTGAATGCTGTCTTCACTTTTGCCTCGTCATCCTAGTATACATCAAACAGTTTAAATTAAAATATAAAATTACCATATAACCTCAAAACCCAATTTTATATATTTTTATTGTTTGTTTACCTTATTGCTTTGCTTAAGAGATCTTAAACACTCTCTCATTTGCTCAGATTTTGTAGCAGGCCTGATCGGCAATGAACTCTGTAATTAAAAAAAAAAACAATATTTTTATTAAATGTTAAAAAAAAATAATAAAAAAAATAATACCTTCTTTTCCTCAACTACAGGTGCAGAAGGTTTAGGTGCAGTGGGGTCTTCTGCAGGCAATCCAAGCTTCCTCCTCCTTTCAGCCTGGAAAAAGTCATATATACAAAATTAGTTTCAGAAAAAAAAAAATCATAAAAAACCAGATTTATAGTAATAATTAATTAATTATTAATCATTATTATTGTTATATTAAGAGTTTAAGACCTTATCTTCTTCCAACTTTTGTCTGATTTTTTCTCTAGCTCTTCTTTCCTCTTCTTTTTCTGCTTTACGCAAGGCTATAATACTGCAAAATACAATTAAAAATTTCCTTTAGGAAATAGGAATATAAAAATAAATATTTTGGAATAAAAAAATTAAAAAAAAGAGAGAGAATGAAGTTACCGTTTTCTTTCATTTTCTTCCTCCATGCGTTTTGCTTCAAGTAGTTCCTTCCCAATTCGTATCCGCTCCTAAAGATAATTTTATATTAAGTACATGATACAAAATGACGTAAATACCCTTCTACTTTATTAAAACTTAAAAGAGAAGAACAAATTACACATTCTACTTGGAATGTTGGATGAAACTATGTAAAGACTTTCACTAAATGAAGGCCACTTTAAGAACCAAGAGTGTACATGTATTATTTAACACAATTTTACAAAACTGAAATTAAGTTTTGGGATTATTTATCTTTCAAGAAAAAGAAATAATTACCTTCTCTCTTTCTCTTTCCATTCTCTTTTCTTCCTCCTCTTTCTTTTTGCGTGCTCTCTCCCTTAAATATAAACAAAGACCAAAATATGAGTTAACTAAATAAGTAGAATAAAAAAAATAAAACATTTTCAAAATTTTTAATAAACGGATAAAGAAAGAAGAATAAAAATTATACTTCAGTTCTTGTGCTTTTGCTTTTCTTTCTTCAGGTGTAAGAGAAGGCTTTGAAGGCTCTGATTTACTCTTGGCAGACACCTTAGCAAAGAGTAACATAAAACTTAGTAAAAAAGTGAGCTTGATAAATTATTTTCCCAATTGATACTATAAAAGAAAAAGAAGTTTAAACAGATACATGTTAAATATTAATAAAATGAGTTCTTGGAATAAGCAATGTTAAGTGAGTATGAGAGAAAAAGGGTAAGAGTACCAAAGGCATTTGATCTATGTCTGCATCTTCTTCATGTTCAACAATCCAATTTGCAGCAGCCTCAAGACTTGAGTTACCTAGAAACAAATGTGTTAGATAAAAGCAATATGTAAAAGCTAGATCAGACAATACTAAGCTGAAGGAATTCGTAAAAATATAAGTATAAAATACAAAGAAAGAACTGATAACCACTTCAGTTTAGCCAGCTGCTATATAGCAAAAATCTAATTCCATTGAGTATAGAGTATAGTAACCTTAGTTAAATGGTACAGAAGCATGGATAGAAATAGTCTGGAAAGAAACCTTGAATCAAAGACTTCAGCCCACTCACCAGAGAAATGAAGTGCCCGGGTTGATCTTTCCTTTGAGAAACCCATTGATTCAAGCTCCTCTAGTAGCTTTAAGTCAACATCAGGAACAACCATTTCTAAGAAAAAAACATGTAACAAAACTAGACATTAGCTGGAAAAATCATGAATGCTGAAACAAAAAAAGACCAAAGAATCATATATTAGTTCATCTAAGTTACTTAGATCAAGATTAAGACAATTTTGTAATCAAATGGTTCTTATTTCCAAAAAAAATTGAGTGGAATCAACTCCAAATCTTCAGAAAGAATTGACAAGTAGAACAAAAAACAACCAAGAAGCAAAGAGGCAAATGTTTAGTACCCTCTGGTTCGCCAGTAGTACTAGCATCCACCATATCCACATCATCACTACTCTGATTCTTCGGAACCTCCAAAGTAATCGGCTTTGCGGTCTCCGAAGTCTTGTCTGAAAATTCAGTATGTCCAGTCCTCTTGGTATGCAGATCACTCTCCTGATAGAAAGAAATAAGAAATCGATATCAGATTCATCGATCAGCGATACATGGCAATCAACTAGCTCATACAAAAACTAAATTACATAAATACGTACGGTTTTAGAGCGGCAGGGTTTGCCACAGGTGGAACAGACTAGGTTAAGAACGGCTTCGGTCGATTCAGAGAAATCGGTATGCTTGGTGAGTTCTGCGTGTTCTTGTGCTTCTTCAACCGATTTCAGTAGAGTTCCGCAATCTCCGCACTTGAGTGATACTCCTGCCATTGTTACACCAGCGGCGATAGCAGTTGCCGGTATGATTTTACGGCGATCTAGGGAGGCGTATATACGGTGGTTTGGATTTGGAGTTTGGGAATATTGGGTTCGATTCGTTTACCCGTCGCTAGGCAAAGAACCAATTCGGGCCTTTCTTGTTTATATGATGAAACTGATACCCATCCGACCCGACCCGACCCGGATCTTCTTTTTTTTTTTTTTTTTTAAATCTTTGTTTCTTCCCCAAGCCATCTTCCAGTAATTCAATATGATTCTCAAAATGATGAGATAAACGAGATGAAGTTAATTTTATTAACATTCTAATTCTAATTTATTTTTAAGGTAGTTTAGAGGGTGTTTGGATAAATTAGTTTATAGATTATTAATTTATTATTTATTAGTTTATTAAAATACGTATTAAACAATAAGCAAAAAACAAGTGATGCTTATTAAAATCATCTTATTTAACTTATCTCTATCACAATAAACTGATTTTTAGAGCATTGGGTATGGGCCGGTGTTATAACGCATTCTTACATGCTACATCAGCCTTAACACCACCATAACATCATGTAGGAAATGGTGTTTCAATATTAGAACTTGTTAAGAGGTAGAAAAAGGTTGAGAGAAAGAGGAAGAGAAATGATTTTTATTGGTTCTTATTCTCGTTTTGATACATTGTAACGCCCACAATATGCAACATAACAAGAAGGGGGGGGGGGGGGGGGGGCAACGAGATGCAACGTCGTTTTGGGCGTCCACCTCAGCCACACCGAGTTTCAATGAGATCCATACCTTACACTCTTATGGATTCTCATATAAACACTTAAACTTAGTTTATTATGGTGGAAATAAGCAATAACCAATAAACACCCCTATAAACACCCTTTTTTCCCTATCTAAACACCCTCTTAATATGGTATAAATATATAGTAAGTTTGATATGAAAAAAAAACTCAATATAAACATATTATTCGTATTTATGATCATATGTTATGTTTTTTTCATCTAAATATCATATAAAATAACATGTTATGTAGCTGTAATCTTTGAAAATTAAAATGAAGTTACAAATTTTAGTAGAGCTAATGTCATAAAGACCCTCAAGTTTGCATGAAATTATTGGATTTACCCAAAGTTCAAATTTATGTCCATTTTTACCTCAAACTTGCATTCAATTGTTTATTTTTTTTTATTATTTTTTTTGCCTATTCACCAGTTTCCCTTTAATCAACCGGTTACCACTTGATTAGCCGGAAAGCTCGTTAATGTCGTTTGGGAGAAAACCCCAAGTCCGTTAGGGATGTTAAAATGTCGCATCCCCATCCTCCATCTATATCCCGATCACTTTTCACCTTTTTGTAAATCGTCGACTGAAACTTTGTATACACAGAGAATAAAACTTAACAAAAGAGGGTTTTCTTGGAGAAGATTTGGTAAAATTGTTCTTCAAAATGTAAGGTTTTTACAGGCCATGATCTTTTTGTGTTTTCAACATTTCCTGAAACGGGTTCTTAAACTTATTGTGTTTATGCAGAAGGACGTAATGGCTTCATCAGACAAAGGGTAAGTTGACCCCTTTGCTAGCATACATGAGCCATTTTCTTGCTTGAATGAAATGGATTTTGAGCTCCACGGCATTTACATGGACCACGAACCAAAGGAAGAATGTGTGACCTCACTTGATAAATGTAAGGATATCTTCCTAAATTTTCTATTAAGCGATGAAAACCTACACAATTCTAGTATGGCAGTTGAAATCAGAGCACAAGTGTACCATTCTACTGATTGGCAGAGCGATGAAGACGAATAGGAGGTATGAAAAAACAACTATAGAATCCATGACCTAACCATCAAGTGTGACAAGATGGTACCTGTGACATCCCCAAAATCACGGCCAGAAAAGACCGATTTTGTTTATGCTTTATGAAAATCAGAGTACTTCATTTTATAAAAAGGTTGCGGAATTTGTTCCCAGAAAAACACGATAAATACGTTATTAAAACATTTTCGAAGAAACGTATTTTTATTCATCTTAAAACGTTTGGGATGTCATCGTTAATACAGAAACATAAGCATAAAGAGAACTTACATTTATTTACACTAGTGATCTACATCTCTTTAAATCTCTCAGTGTAATGTCACTTCATTTCGTCACCTGTGGTATACATAAACTGAGTGGGTCAGGTTGGGAAACCTGGTGAGTACATAGGGTTTTCAACCCACAATAATATAATTATTATGTTTAATCAAACAATCAACCCAATTACCCATCCCCATTATCTTCTTTACTCTTTAAGGATTTATCCTAAGAGTCATCTATCCTTCATTCGTTTATTCCGAAGTCCCTTACTTCCAGGGTTCTAGGACTGGCACTAAATCCATAACTGCCGATGTTAGTTCGTAAAGCACTAATTCCATAGCTGCTATATCCTACTCATCGGGTACTAAATCCATAGCTACCAGCGTTCAACAGGTACTAAGCCCATAGCTACCAATTCCTACAGGTACTAAATCCATAGCTACCAGTGTCTAACTAATAGGTACTAAGTCCATAGCTACCAATTTCTAACAGGTACTAAATCCATAGCTACCAGCGTTCAACAGGTATTAAGTCCATAACTACCGGTGTTTGTCCCATAGGCACTAAGTCTATAGCTGCCAATGTATACTCACGTCATCTTCTATCTCTCATCATCTATCTACCCATCATCATACCCCACATATTCATATATATAAAATACTTATACAGTTTAAATCCTTTAAAACATGTATAAAACGTTCATCCAACATAGACAACAAGTATTCAGATAATATGCACACATAGCACGTAGTTTATACTAAATACTTCATATCTATGTGTAATATGAAAGGGACTATGCACTCACAACACGTAAACTATATAATAAATACTTCATATCTATGTGTAAGATGAAAGGGACCATGCACTCACCTGAGAAGGTGGTGACTCGGTACTCGGACAGCGCTTCGTTTACTTTAAAATAATTTCCTTCGACGAAACCTAGTATTATCACCAATAGATTTTAGTCTATTATTCGCCGAGACTAATTAATAGTCTAGCTATTATTACTATTATATAAGCGTTAAAAAAAATTACTTATATAACCCATAATAATAGCCCAAGTATTTATTATATGTTCTTAATAACGTTAATATAATTAAATAAAAACTATATTAAAAATAGCGTAGGCGTAACTCACTTACAGCGGGTTTTATAGAAAACCATGCTTTGCTTGGAGCAGCGTTTCTGAGCCGAAAAGCTCTTCTTTTCGGAGTCGTTGAGCACTCCGGGGCTTCCGCCTCGTGCTAGGGAGGTTCCCTAGGCTTTTCGGGGGATTTCGGGGCTAGAGAGAGGTTCTAGAGAGAGAGTAAAGAGAAGAAAGAATGGGAAAGGTGTGAAGAAAATGAGGGTGGGAGAGGTGGTATTTATAGGGTGAAAATGGCTGAACTTGGTGAACACATGTCACCATCTAGTGGCAAGACTTGGGGAGAAAGCAATGGCCAAGATTGTGCCACATCACCCATTTTCGCACAACACACTTCCGACTTCTAAAATCCGTAACTTTCACATACGACCTCCGTTTTTGACGTTCTTTATATCCACGCGTAGGTAAAAATAATATCTACAACTTTCATTTTGACTCCGTCGGCTAATTCTCGACCGATCTTAAATTTAACAGTACGAGGCGTTTAGACTGTTAAATGACCGCGAAGAATTCGTAACTCCTTCATACGGACTCCATTTTCGTCTGTCTTTTTACCGTTGAGTTCCTATTAATGAGATCTTCAACTCTCATTTATTTCACATAAGCCAAAAACCGCTCGAACTAAAATTCGAGTTTCGGGTTGTACACTGCTAAGCCGAATCTTAGAAAAATCATAACTTCCTCATACGAAGTCAGATTTGGGCGTTCTTTTTATCGACGCTCTTAGTTTAACATATTCTACGACTTTTGTTTAGATTTCTAAGGCTAAAAAGTCTTCTATCGTAAATTCACTATTTATGTCTTCCGGTGCCGTGCCGGTTTTGCCGTAAAACTTCGGCGGGCCATAACTTCTTCGTTATAACTCGGATTTCGGCGTTCTTTATATGTACGGAAACCTTGTGACATATTCTAAAACTTGGTTAAGACTATTCATTCTAAATAATCTTTTGTTGAAAAGTCATTTTTGACCCCTATTGCCTCTAAATTGACTAGCCCGGATCTGCGGGCGTTACAGTACCAAAGCTTGGTAACATCTTTGAATCCCTTACACAACTGAAGTTTTGTGTCACCAATTATGATGTGTCACATGGTTATAGAATCTACTTTGAAAAATGTGATACTAAAAGAATTGTAGCTAGATGTGGCAAGAGGAAGGAGGAGAGTAAATGCCCTTTTAGACTTTATGTTGCATGGATATACAAGGAAATATCTTTTCAGATCAAAGCTCTGAACGGTGACCATAAATGTTCTAGACAGTTTAAGTTTGGGTCCATTGTTTCTCCTAAATGGATCGGAAGACATTATGTGACTTAAATTGCAAACAAGTCAAAGATGAAACTTCAGGAACTGATTGATGACATCAGACAAAGGTATAGGTGTGTGGTATATATAAGACATGTTAGAAAGGAAAGGAAATGGGCCAAAAATTTCATTGAAAGTAAACCCACCGAGCATTATGCAAGGATATGGGATTATGCATAAGAATTGTTAAGGTAAAACCCAGGGTCCACATGTCAAGTTGGTGTAACAACCAATCCAGATGGAAATAATTATTTTCATAGGCTTTACATTTGTTTCAAAGCACTAAGTGTTAGCTGGAAAAGAGAGGGTATGAGAGTAATCGGGCTTGATGGGTTCTTTTTAAAGAGTCAGGTGAAGGATGAACTACTAACATCCATTGGTAGAGATGCCAACACCTAGGTCTATCTAATTGCTAGGGTGGTTGTTGATGTAGAAAATAAGTCCAATTAGACTTGGTTTCTTGAGCTCCTCAATGCTGATCTAGACCTTATTGATGACATGGGTTTGGTAGTTATATTAGATCAACATAAAAATAAGTTCTTTATAAACTACGAATCATTTTCTAATTTTTTATAAATACTTACCTATAAGATGGTTT